AAACGATTGCAGACATTTTATTTATTTTAAGGATTTAAAGTGAAGGATTTAAAGTGATTTAAAGTGAAGCCTTGATTAACATTATGTAGGCCTATTCTAAACAAGCTGACAGCAGAAATCACACAGAACAGAACAAAATGTTATCATTTCATATTAAGTTAACGAGTAAACAATTTAATAATGCAATTGAAAACAAACTAATTGATATGACAACTAAAAAGAACAATAATAATAAGATTATTGCCGCGATTTCAATATATTCAAGGATTCATTTTTAGGTTTCATCAATACGTCAGTTTTAAACGTTTTAGTGCCTGTAAAAATGAAAGTAAATGTACGTTTTATGGAACCCCATTTTACATAAAAAAACATACAAATTATCATGAGATCACGTTGAATTGTTACCTGGAGGCTTGCTTTTACCATATCATTTGAATCAGTGAGTTGTTGACTCGAGAAAAGCTGTATCAGTTCAATTTGTGAATGAATCGTCCAGTGTGATTTGCGAACCAATTTAACAGGTTAATTGAAAAGAATCAGCTTGTTCATGTGTCAGACACTGCTTTTGGTTTCAGAGAGTGTGACGATTTCTCCAGTTCAAAATAATGAGGAATGACATGTTCTAAGAAATCTAGTGGAGTAAAAAGTACGGATGATACTAAACCATACGTCACTTCATTTTTATTTTCGAAGAGTTAATAAAAATATTCTGATAAAGTGCAGATACTGGAAAAATATACTTGAGTACAGTACCAAAGTAAAAATACTTACTGTTACTGTCCACAACCGCCAACAACAAATACATGTATATATGTAATACCATAAATATAAACTAATATACACACATAGGCTAAATGTATTTTAAGCCATACCTTCAGATTTCCCTTTGTGGTGAAGGCTCTGCCACAGATGGAACAACCAAATGGTTTTTCTCCTGTATGAGTGCGCTCATGGATCTGAAGAGCACTGGCTGATGAAAAATTCTTCCCACAAGAGGTGCAGTTATGTTGTTTGGGGGTCCGCCGAGGTGGAGGTGGTGCCAGCTTTGGTGTAAGGTTGGGGCTTATTGTTGTCTGAGGGGTTGTGGTAGGTACCTGGGGGCCAGCTGGTAAGTGGCACCCCTCACACATGGCCGGTGGTTTACTGTGTCCATTGTCAAATTTGACTGTGCTTGGTTCTGAGCTCATAATACTGGGAGTGTTTAAACCTAAATGAATGAATGAATGAATAAATAACATGAAAATGTTTCTTTTATTTACTTGTATTGTATACTGTGATTTTTAATGCGTTTTTGTTTTTTTAAAGAATTCTCTTCTGCTCACCAAGCCTGCATTTATTTGATCCAAAATACAACAAAAGCAGTAATATTGTGAAATATTTTTAATATTTAAAATATATGCTTTTTATTTTATTATATTTTTTAAAGCATTTTATTCCTGTGATCAAAGCTAAATTTTTAGCATAATTACTCCAGTCTTACTACATGATCATTCTAATATGCTGATTTGCTGTTTAAGAAACGTTATTATTATTTAAAATGTGTGTACACTACACTATGGTATACAATTCATTAGTGCCAACCTACAATATTTAATTAATTATTTATTTTATTATTATTTTTTATTTTTTCAGAATTCTTTGATGAATGGAAAGATCCAAAGATCAGCATTTATCTGAAATAAAAAAGCTTTTGTAACATTATACTATACATTATATTATATTATACACTATACCATTTAAAAGCTTATTCAAAAGGGAGAAATTATAGAAATTAATACTTTCATTTAGCAACAATGCTTTAAATTGATACAAAGTGATGATACAGACATTTAAAATGTTACAAAATATTTATATCCAGATAAATGCTGTTCTTCTGAACTTTCTATTCATCAAAGAAACCTGGAAAAAAAGCCCACGTTTTACTCAACTGTTTTCAACATAATAATAATAATAATAATAATAATAATAATAATAATAATAATAAATACAGAGTTCTGGAATGAAACTCTAGATGTCCGATAGGTCTAATGCCGGGTTCAGACTACACAATATCTTTGTCGGTCACGATAGTCACTTTGTCAGATTACACAATTTTGACTCCTAAAATCTTGTCGTGTCGTGAACAAGAAACATGTCAGACTACACATTGCTTCCTGACCATTCATCGCGTACCGTCTTTAACGACGCATGTTATGTCATCGAGAAGGCGGAACTAGCGACTGAGTTCCGAAAACAAGAGTGTAAACATTCCTGAAGCGCTTCCGCTATAGTTCGCCAGCATTTTTCTTTCTTTGTTCTGTCGTGGTAGTCCCTCGATGACACATCATAAAGGCAGGAGTACTGTTGCCACAGCTCCACGAACCTTTCCTCCATCTCATAATTCCACCTAGCAGCACCATCATCTCTCTTTCGTTTTGCCATGTTTGAAACCGGTGTATGAAAGAGCTTCTGTGCTGCTATTGGTCAACGTCACCAATATGACAGAACTCATCGTGGACGACGGAAAAAAAATTGTCATGATGTCGTGAAGCATTGTAGACGCGGAATCGGTTGTTGTTCACTATGACACACTACACGAGCTGAAACGATGGAATCTTGCGTCCCGACGCCCATTGTCGTTTATGAATCCCCACGACACCCTACGTCAAGCAAATAGTGGAAAAATCATGTAGTCTGAACCGAGCATGACTCTATCTGACCTAATGACATCATCACATGGCACAGCTGATTGGTTCTCTCCTGTATCAGTAGGCAATGAGCTCGCTGCTCAACATTCAAATATATGACTAATGATTGCCGTAGCAGTTGCAGCTTGCTTCAGAACAGCAAAATCAACATCTAAGATAAGTGAATGCTCTTCTAATCCATATCGTTGTGTGTATTGCATGGTTTGCCTAATTGAATTAAAAAATGAGCAACCATAATCAAGTTTAAACTAAGTGTCATGTTAACAGTTTGCATTGTATGCTGGAGCAAATATTAAACATATTAGCAGCAGCATTTAGCATCTATGTTTATACAGCTGGAGCAAAACGCAGTTTAGAGCATATGTAATTGATCTGAGGACACGCCGATAGTATCGGACATGAAACAGGTTAAATGAAATAAGCATTCTTGTGTATGCATTTCGATGGGAGTTCGCCATATACATCGGCGATTATCCCAGTGTTCACGTTCGTTATTTCTAAGGTCGATGTTTTCATTGTAATGAGTGTGTGGTTAATTTCAGCTGCATGCAGCGTCAGAAGCATGCGCTTATCACAGTCATATCAATGACAGTGTTGCGGGAGATGCTGAAGATCACTATCTACGGCTGTAACAGTTAGTTCCGATTGAAATGCTTTATGGGTAGTGTAGTTCGGAGAAATGTGCTCGTGCGACGTGTGCTCTCGCTGTGATGTGTAATTCAGGAAATGGAGAAAGAACATTTATATTCTGCTTTTATTTCGGTTCATCAGGTCAGTCCACCTAGGGGTTTTTGTGCACTGTAACTTTTACAACTTTTTATCTGCACGAGAGAATAAAATGGCATGCATTGCTAACTTTGTCCATCTCATCATTGCACGGACATGAATTAACAAGGTGTTACACTGCCGCTGGGACTGATGAAGTGGAGAAGTAACAGCAGTTATCAAATGACTAAATTATGATATTTGCTCAGGTGGGTGCTGGGGTCTTATCTATCGGATTGCAATGTATATCCATTTTGTTAATTAAACATTACACATGGTGCATACGGCGTGGTAGCCAAGGCTCACATAGCCATAGGCCTCTATTATTAAGCCGGTCGGCGTGGTAGCCAAGGCTCACATAGTCATAGGCCACTAGTGTTAAGCCGGTCGATGTGGTAGCCAAGGCTCACATAGTCATAGGCCACTAGCGTTAAGCCGGTCGGCGTGGGAGCCCAGGCACACATATATAGTAATACATATACGGTTCACATGGCTCTTCGGAGCAGCAGCAGTCCATATGTCTTGGCGATAGATCTGCTTGTTGGGGGGTGTTTTGTTCTTGTTTTGGCTTGTATTGTCCCTTCTATGTCTCCTGCTTTGTGGGGGGTTATTTCATGTATGTTATATTTGCAGCAGCAATATTTCTTACATGCTCACAGCGGCATGTTGTGGATGTATTGGATGTAGCAAGTCTCGGTTCTTGCTCTGCCACAGCAGCAGCAGCAGCGTAGCAGATCTATTCCACCAAGACCAAATACATTAAAGGGGTCATATGATGCTGCTAAAAAGAACATTATTTTGTGTATTTGGTGTAATGAAATGTGTTTATATGGTTTAAAGTTCAAAAAACACATTATTTTCTACATACTGTACATTATTGTTTCTCCTCTATGCCCCGCCTTTTTGAAACGCGTTGATTTTTTCAAAGCTCATTGGTCTGAAAAAGCGAGGTGTGCTGTGATTGGCCAGCTATCCAATGTGTTGTGATTGGCCGAATACCTCAAGCGTGAGACGGAAATGTTACGCCCCTCACATACTGTTGATGCCATGTCCCGGCCGGAGCAACGAGACATAAACATTAAAACCCATTACAAACGAGGCATTTGTTGCATCCAGTGGGGACACAATTACTGATTATAATGACTTCTACTGTCGTTTACGCGTTGCGTTGCATTGCATCGCATCGCGCCGCGTAAACATAAAACTCTGTCAGCATTTGTGATCGGAGAAATGACAAACAACAAGTGCTACTCTACTGCCCAAAACTCGCTTTTGAATCATCAGTGGCAGCGAAAAACACAGCGGCCTACCATGAGGGGAGTGAGCCGTGATAGAGTGAGCTGAGGCGGGCTGGACTCCGCTTTGTCCACGGTGAATGAGCCGTGATAGAGTGAGCTGAGGCGGGCTGGACTTTGTCCACGATGAAAGTTGATGTATTCCCTCAGCGTCCAGCACAGATCAGCTCCAGCTGAAACTCTAGATGGCGTAGTCCTATATGTCTAACTCAATCTGACCTAATGACATCATCACATGGCACAGCTGATTGGTTCTCTCCTGTATTGGTAGCAGTGGTGTAGTCTAGCTTTTTGTAGTGGGTATACTCTGATATTCCCTCCCAGCCTCGTACTCACCATCCCACAGCGACACCCCATAAGCACCACCACGCTCACTAATTCATACAATATGCATCTATGTAACTGAGAGCATTCTGAAAGACTGCTTATGTGATATCAACATGTCAGTTTATTATAAGCAACAGAAGACTTTAACAGCCAATGACATTTACAGCTGGGGAGACTGGACTGATTTCTTAATGCTTAGTGTTAATCATTTAACTCAGCCAGTTACATTTATCTTAAAGGGGTCATATGATGCTATTTTAAAGATCATTATTTTGTGTATTTGGTATAACAGAATACTTGGTGTATGGAAGTAGTCATTATGCTGGTTTCTCCAGGCCTGGTGGTGGAGGTGAGTGGTAGATGAAAGGCTTCGGATTTTAGAACTGGAGGTGTGTCACTTGCCACACTATGCTGTGGTGAACTGGACATTTGTGCAATACTAGCCTCAGCAATTAGGTGAATAGGAGACATAGATGCACACTCGCTTGATGGGGGTGATGGCATTTGAGGTGACCTACTTAAAGGGGTAAAACTACTTGAATCCCCATAGCTTCCTATAATACTGGGTATTGTTGGAGGGAGCTGCAGTGCTATTGATGTTGGGATTGTAGACAAAGCCGGTTTGCTGTCCAGCCATGTGGTAACAGGTTTTTCTGGGGGCAATGACATGCCATAAGGTATACCTGAGCTAGTTGGAACATTATCCAGATACTCAGGAACTGGATAGGGGTTCATTTGAATCTGAGGATACTTTTCTTTGTGTCTCTGAAAATGAACCTTCAAGTTACCCTTTGTGGAGAAGCGATTACCACAAATGTTGCATTTGAAAGGCCTTTCACCAGTATGGGAGCGAAGATGGATTTGCAGGGCACTGTCACTTCCAAACACCTTGGCACAAAATCTGCACTTGTGTTTGAAGAAGGGATCTTCTGAGTTGGGTTTGGTGTCAAACAAAGAGACATTTGGGGGCTTTCCTTTGCGGTGCTTCATTAGGGCGGAAAGAGGATCAAGCGCATTTGTTGTGGCTGCAATACTGGCTAGAGGATTAGGGAAGATAACACTGTTGGATGAGCTGTGAGGTACGAGAGGAAGGCTGGAGGGGGATGTTAGCAATCTTCCATGACTCGGTGCTAGAGGACTAAGTGTGTTTTTTGGAAGTGAAATACCACAACTTATTTTACCCCCAGTTCCTGTGCTACTACTGGTGCAGCTACTGCTGCTAATCGACGCTGAGCATGGTGACATTTGAGAAGGAACCACATTACTGGTTGTTGGATATAAGGAATTAATTGTGATATTGTTTTTCATCCCAGAACTGGCCAGCTGGCCAACTGTCTGAGGAACACTAACACAGGCTACCTCCAGAGCTGAAGATAATGAGGCTGAGACCTGTCCATTGAAATCGGAGGGCCCTTTGATTGGAAGTTGATGCTCAGGTGGTGTAATGAAGCCACGTAGATGAAGCTGCCCAGGCATTGTGGGTATGTTGGAAGATGAGGTTACTTCTAAGGTTGCATTCATGCTGTGGTCTGCTTGATGGTTGACAGCTGTCTGTGTGGAGGCCTGTTTGTTTATTAGTGCCACCTGGCTCCGAATCTGCTCTATCAATTGAAGCTGGTGGAGCTGTTGTTGCTGCAAGGCCATGAGCTGGTCAAGGATCATAGGAATGGCCATAGTTGACACTTCACCAGCTAGTGCTCCCCGGGCACCCTGAGAGAACTGAGCCACAGCCACACGGGTTCCATGCAGTGTTTCCAATGTGACATTAGTGCTGGGTATAGTATATCCTGCCCCAGAAGACTGCTTAATATCTTCAAGTTGAGATAGGCTTATGTCTGGCTCTGACAGTGTAACTTGATCTTCAGAATTGATGGGTTTCTCAGGAGACAGTTCCACTTCCATGGCCTCATATTCTATCTCCAGAACAGCACCCGGGTCCAACATCATCTCTGCTCCTTCAACATCTTCAGTGGGCATGTGGCTTTCCTCTACTACATCTTCACTGTCTGCTGGCTCACTGCTGCAGCTGGGCATGGGTGATGGCTCAGGTGGGTAGTCCTGTGCTTGGTCTGAAATCACTTGATTGTCACTGATAATTAACACAAGTGGATTCTTGGTACAGGTCTTCAGATGTTCACAGAAATCAGACCACTTAAAGAACTCCGCACAACACTTTTCACACACATGGATCTCTTCACTCCCACTGCGGCTCTCATTTCCACTGTCTGAATCATCCAGTCCTTCACCTGAGACTGAGAAGAACAGGAAAGTGAGGGGGAAGGGGGGACACATTAATATATTATTATTATTATTATTTGCACAATCAAATCTGTTTTACCCTTTCCCGTGATTGTGTTCATCTTAACCACCAATTTTGATCATTCCACTTTTCTCTGTATAGTCAGATAGCATCTGTCTTTGTGCAATCTACTTATTTTAGGACTATCAATTGTAGATATTGCCATGTATAAGAGATTCAATGCAATTCAATTTCCACTGTTTTCATATAAACCAGGGGCACTTTATCTGTACAAATCAGGTCTCACTCGGATTTACCACTAACATGAAATTTTAGATTTCATTAGTACTGTCAGATGTGTGAGCTATGCTTTTGCAAAATCTTTTCACACAGTGTGTTTATATAATAAATGTATGTTAAAGTTATTGCATGTTCTGTACAGTTGACATGTGTCATACCAATCCATATACCATATCTGAACTGTTTAAATCACACATTTGTTCTGAGATTTTAATCTGTACAAATAAATTCAGATATTTTGTGCACTTGTATGCATCACATGCTTCATGGCAATTAGTTGGTAATATGCTTGACTAGGAGTTTGGGATGGGTGTGAATTTTTGTTAATTGTTACACGCGCACACACACACACAAAAACTCTGAATGAATAACTTATTAAGCAGTGTTAAACATGTCTAAGTCTTCGTTTGATTGGACCTTGGTGGATATGAAATTAAATTATTCTGTATTTTCTACTATAAAATGAATACACATTTTGAAAAAATAAAAAAGCAAGAAGAGGAGGATTTAATTCCTCTTTTCAGTAGTGACTGGAATGAAATTATTATTATTATTTTAATCTATCTATAGATGACCATAGATAGATAACCATGACACATTATCTTAAAAATTATCGTTTTCTCTATAATCATTTAGTCATTATTATGCTTCCCTTTATTTGAATTATGCATCCCTGTATCAGCAGCTAAGTGCCGGAGGCTTGGAATATCAACGCACGCTTTACGCACACATCTAATGTCCAATCTTGTCGATCTCCGTCTAAAATTGCTTTATTGAACATAATGGAAATACATACTTGCAACGACGAATGGTGGCCACCTTCCCTTCCTGAAGTGTGGTAAAAACTGTATACGTTCCCTGCACCAAGCCTGCTTCCTCTACGTGAATGAAACACCGACTTAAAACCCCTATGTGCATATACTGCCCCCAAGTGGTGACAACCCAAAATACATCGACATTAACACATTGGCTCCTACACATCGGCCCCATAATTGTTGATGTACAACTACAATTATCTCTTAAATGATCAAAGGAGCCAAAAAAGGTGTATGTGAACAACTTCTTTGAAGATCAATCCATTGATTCTTCCAACAACATGCAGATTTTGGAAACAGGTCTGTCCAGTAATCCTGTTTTTGTCTTCAGTTGTACAAAACGGACAAATCCCGTTTTGTCAGGATATGTCTGAATGATTTTGCCTAATGACCAGGAACCACGTGGTGCAATTGGATCCATGATGACCACTATATCACCAACAGTGAAATTTCTACGTGGCTTCCTCCATTTTTGTCGTTCCTGAAGCAGTGGAAGATATTCCCCTATCCACCTTTTCCAAAACAGATCAGACAAATATTGGACTTGCCGCCATCTGCGTCTGATATACAAATCACTTTTTTGAAAAGTCCTGGAGGAAGAAATGGGTTTGATCTTAACTGCAAGATATGATTTGGCGTGAGAGCTTCTAAGTCGAAACCTAGTAGTCTTTCGAAACACTATCCTGCCAGTAATTCTTATGCTTCAGCTTCACAAAGAATAGTGTGAAAGCTCTCATCATCCAAGCATTGTTGTCGAAGTGTAGAGTACAACACTTTCTTTACAAGACGAATGAGCCTCTCCCACACAGCTCCATGATGTGATCCTGCAGGAATATTAAAGGTCCATTTTATTCCTTTTGACAGGAAAGTACGCTGAATTTTATCATGATCCAAACTCTTCAAAGCATTTCTAAGCTCTCTCTCTGCTCCAATAAAATTAGTGCCGTTATCAGATCTTAAATGCAGTACTTGGCCACGACGGCACATAAAACGACGAATACAATTTATACAAGAATTTG